TGTCCTCCCACTTCCCTGATTCTGCTAAATGAGGATAGCTTAGGATGAGTTAAAAGGAAATATTTTTCTTATTCCAATTATTATTATGAGGTTATTATATAATCTTTAGCAGTACTGCTCTCACAGATTGCCTTCTGATGAACTTTCCTAATGCTTATTAAACAGAAAGAAAATCAAATTTCCCCCTCCCCTCCCCAGTACAATTAATATATTATTATTATTTAGTCGCTATTTGATTGTGAAAGCCTATACCAATGAACTATGTCCTGGCAGCAAAGAGAAAGAGTAGCTCTGTTTTATACCATTTTATTAAGTGGTGCTTTGCTCTGTGGCATGCATTCAGGTGGGCATGTTACTAATAGATTAGGATTCATGGTTCTCCCAGTTTGCCTATTCCCTTACCCATTACACCAATACTTTTAGGATGGTTTTTTCACATGCCAGATCTCAATTATATAGGAATTTAATTGTCAACTGGAGCTTAGTAGTAGAGGTTTCAGAGGTTTCTTCCCCCAAACCCCAAAAGCTTTAAACCTTAGTCTGTCTACTATTGACCTAACCCCTTTCCTAAGAGGTCTGTAGGGGGCGTGCATAAGTGCACCAACATGTCTACCGTCCCTGTCCTATTGTTTCTTTTTTGTTTTTCTTATATGTATCCATTTAATGTATAACTATGTTTATACTTATACCTGTTATTTTATAATTGCTTGACAAAATACATAAAATTAAATTAAATTTAAATAAATAAATAAATAAATAAATGTTGGCTTCCAACAGTTCATCAGCTCTCCTCTTCTCCCCACCCCATGCCTCTGAATTCTTCTCCTGCCAGAAAAAGTCTTAGTAAATAAAATTCTGTAGGCCAGTCCTAAACACTTGGAGCATATTTATGACAAGATGGCTTTATATAATTTTTTCCCCCATGCCTGGAACACCAAGGCTTTATATGCTTGAGCCTTTCTCTTTAATTATTTGAGATGTAATCCTTTTGAGGGATCCTTACTGTATTCTTCTCTTTTTTTGTAGGAAATAATTCACTTATAAATTTGGAGTTTCGGTGTTTTTTTTCCCTTGAGTTCCTTCCCATCACTTCCTTGTATGAATATATCCTGAATATATCTCCAACTTTTCCATGTATGTCGTTTTGAAGTTCTGTTTTGAAGAGGAGGATAGAGATTGGTTCAGGAATCTGAATATTTATGAGTTATTGATATCATGCTCCAATGCTTTAAGAATCCTCTGACCCAAATTGAAGTGTGTGGATTTCATGCCTGGATTGACGAGATCCACAAAACTGCTTTATTTCCTAAGCTCACTTCCACTGAGGCCAGTCTCACAAGGAGCAATACAAGCAGACATCTTTTGTTAAGAGTCTATTAAATTTGAGAACACTATACCTGGCTGTGGTGATATCAAAGACTATTAGACAATTGTAGAAAGAATGTTTTAAGGAACCATTGTTCATTTTCACATTTCATTCTACTTGTCACTATTGCTGAAGAGCAAAATAGTCGAACTCAACAAACTAAACAAAGGGTACACACACACACGCGCACACACAAAAACAAACTCCCATGAAGAAATGGAACATGTATCCAATAAAGCTGATCTGCAGGAGAAAAAATATTGAGTTTTCTCTTGCAAAGGTCAATGTAGGAGGAGGAAAAGCAGAGCCCGGGGAAAGAGTCAAGAGATGGATCAGCCTGAAATCATTAGTTTCTACAAGAGGCATTAAATTCTGTTAACTCTTACCTAGCACCAATTTCATGTTCATCATTAGTTGACTAGATTCTTATGTGTAAGCATAAGCAATAAATCAACTTAACTAGAACTTAACACATGGCCAAGATTCTTCTTCACAATCCAAGAGTGGAGATGTTCTTTGAAAAATTGTTAAATTCATGATTATTTGTGCTTTGTGATGGAGGAAATATTATATAGGCGTGAGGATGACTCAAGTTGCTTAGTTATCAAACCACAAGAAAACTGTTCACAAAAATTGCTAGAGAAATTATTAGGTTTTGATGGTACTAAAAAACCCAGAAATTTTAATCTACCCTGGTTATTTTCAAATAGTTTCCCATACATTTCTTCATAACCAAAATGTAGAAAACAGAGAAATTATAGAAACAGTTTAATTTATACTGGTCATGATTATAGATTATTTATTTCTTTTCTCAGCAGTCAATTAATTTAATTTATTAGGCATACCACCAATCACTGAACCCTTTCTCAGTGGTTTAAAGATCAAATCAATCTTTTCAGAAACATTCTCAGTCATGAACTGGAGAACATTTTACTCAATAATAATTAATTAATCCTTAAATCCCATTAAATGTTCTAATTAATTTCATTTTTATTAGATGTGAAATAGATTCCCTTGAATGCAAGATATGCTAAACTTCATAAAACAGAAGCCTGAAATCAGAAACAATCAAAATTTTCAAAATCATTGTGGAAATTAAAATAATTAGAAGGTTTCCAGAGTTGTCTCAGATGGTTGGTAACTAAAGAAAGACCTACATAAAAGTAATATTATTAGTTGTGGTAATTTCACAGAAGAGGTCAGCAATTCATTATAAGAGCAGAAATTTAAGAACAACACAAATGAGATATAATGATCAATGCAGAAGGAACTTCTCCACTGACCTTAAAAACTAAGGTCAGTAGGAAAAAACATTTTAGTTGTTTCAGTATTGCAGCTCTAAGAGTATGGAGAAAGTTGGGCATGAGATAAGAAGTAGAGATAATTTGAGTTTCACAATTTATCTGCCGTCACAATCCACTGCAATTTTTGGGATGTAGGGAAATACAAAGAAACTTTGGCACAATTACTTGGTCTGATGGTGCAAATTCAGCTATAGAAGTCGTGACAGTGTGAGATAAATAAAAAATAGTCCTTACATGCAATAAGGATTCTAAAGAAAACTTTAAACAAACAGTCCAACACTGAAGACTACATGATAAGTCCAATTATACCAAGACAATTTTGAAGAACGTAGTTACTCAGAATACTGTAACAGAGAAATTTGAACAAGGACCTCTAAATTGTTGATGAAATGATCTGTATCTTGTTAAAATGTCTTTTTAGAAAGTTAACTACCAGAAATAGATCACTGACTTAATTTTGTCTTGCACAACAGAAAAGTATGTTACATTACAAAAGTATGTTTCAGCTATTAGGCTGTCTAATGCTAAAGAAATTATTTCCTTAAGAAATACATTTCAACATTGTAATCTTAAAATATGAAATAGAAATATTCTAGTGTCCTCTTATTCACTGATAATCAAAAACTGAATAAACAGTAACCCTTCAGAGTAGAGGCTAACTTGCAGCTAGTTTCTCTGTGCTTATACTGTAAAATGATCTTGCAGGCTGGAGTAGAAGCCTGAAATTTCACACAATAAAATATCACTGAAAAATTAAGAGACGTTCAATATTCAGTGTTCCAAACAACATTTACATGCAACACACAGTCACAAACCAATTGGTTTATTGACTACTAGACACTAACCACGTTTTCTGGATATTTTTCATTTTTTCCTATGATGAATAATTTTGTGGCTTCTAGCAAAACCTGCAAATTGGTGAGTCTCATTCAATAGATACATGAAATATAATCTTGAGTTTTAAGGCATTTCTTTAGAAGTTAAGCTAGCACAAGATAAAATGAGGATCTTCATTTTAGCTACAGAATTAATAATTCTTTTTCTATCATAAACTGTGGATAAGCAAATGATTTGCAATTAATATAAAAAGGAGGAAAATTCAGAAGAACCAAAGTAACACTACATTAGGAGTATAGAACTTTCTGTACAATTTCACCCAAAAAACCAAAATCACAAACACTTCATTTTGAAATGATTTCACAAAGAAGCCAAGGGAGAGGAAAACCACTCTACTTCCATTCCAAATCTTTCTTTTTATTTGACTGGTATTACAATTAAAAAGGACTCAACATGGAGTGTTACACATTCTTGGTGCTTTATGATGCAACTAATAAAATCCCTGAATGGATATTGCTTTACCTTTGATTTTAAAAACTAACTTAAGAAAAGCTTTAATTCCACTAATGATCACAAATGGCCAAATGAACAGCAACAAAAGGAACAGAAAATAAAAATGAAACCAAACTACTGGCAAGTTCATAATACACACATAATTTGTGGGTTGATGACACTGATTTCAAATGTACGATAAAGCCCACAACACTTGATTACTATGAATATTATTGTGATTTTTTTTTCATGTTGAACAACTTGCTTCAAAAGGTTGCTTTCTGTTGTTTAAACTTGCATAATAAACATGCAATAAAATAATTCCTTTTAACATTTTTCTGCAGTGTTTTTGTTTTCATACAAAGATTTCATAAAGTTACAGTGCTGAATCACAGCATTACCAAAATAAGTGTAAGAGTGAAAGAGGAAGATTCTTGTGAATTTAACTTAATGACAAAAAATCCAACTATTACTTTTTATCCTGAGACACGCCATCATCTTATTAAAAAGGTGTACACAACCTAATCCCACCCAAATCCCTCCAAAAGATAAAATAAATATTAAATTGGGGGGAAAGAGAGAACAGATAAAGAAAATATAAGATGTCATCATGCACTCATCTTCTGCATAGCTCAACCTACATATAGTAAGGCACTATTTCCCCACAACTTAGTGTCCCCCAGAATCCTTTAAAGCCCTCTGCAAACCACAGAATTCCTTCCAGGATGATGAAATAAATGACTGAAGAAATGTGACTATCACATTATTCCACATATGTTCTCCTATTTAAGGAAGTCATCAGGCAGTCTCAGAAGGAAAAAAAAAATCTGTCACAAGTCTCTTTTTGTGTAAATGTGTTCATGTGACATATGGGGATTTGTTGTGTGGGATTTTTTTCTTCTTCTCTTGCTAGAGTTAAGTTCTCATTATTCTCAAAGCAAATTCGGAAGAAAAAGAACAGAGGAGTCATTAAAAAAAAGGTTTTGGTGCTCCAAACAGCATCCCGTTTAAAGGGTCTGGAAAATCTGATGATTGTTCCCAAGGGAATTGGGAAAGGTGTTGATGGAATCTCAAGGGATGGTCCTTAATTACAGTTAGTTAAGTTGATCTTCATACTGCTTTCGAAAACAATCACCAGCAGGAAAAAATTCCCAGCATCGTTCTTGATACATTTTCCACACATATGACTCCTGCAAAACACAGAAGGTAACTTTAGAACATCTAGAACATTTCATGCCATCTGGAATTTTTCAACCATTATGGTAAATAATTTTGAAATGATCACAGAAGCTGTGTTTATATTCCAAAGTACTGTAGTTAAGACATGGCTTTATGTGTCAGTTTCAAATAGACTCAACATTTTTGTTTCAGTTAAAATAAAGCTAAAAACAGAAACTATTTTGCAAAAAAAAAAAAAAATTAAGTGCGGGCAATCTCAAGGAGTACACCACCTGTCCAAAAAAAGAAAAAAAAAGAATTTAGATAAAACAAGGTTCAACTTTAGCCACCTTGACTGTGCTATTAGTATAACTGGACCAGAAAAGACTGTCTTCAAATTTGATTGGCTATGTAGAGTTGTTACATAATAAGAATCAAAGTGCAATTAGCTAATGGCAAGGTAAAATAATAGGTTAGAATAATGTTGTACAATTGAACAAGTGATAGTGTTGAAGCAAAAGAAGAAGAAATGTGGAGGAAAAAAAGGCTGAGGAACATTTCATAAGGAAACTCCAAAAGTACAAGGCTTGTACTGAAAATATCAGGGAATGTTTGGTGCATCCCTAGTAGTGTTTCATTTATTTGTCTGCTTTTTAAAATTTAACTTTTTCAAAAGAGGAACTACATAATTTGGATAATTTGATAGGGAACACATCCAAAGGAATACATAGAAGTGCTTAAAGGAACGTGATAGAGACCTTTAAGGAGCCCCAGCACAATGAGAGTACCCAGTTCTTGCCATGAACTCTTGAAATGCTACCCAATCAGTCCTGTAGTCTAACCTGCAGACCTTACCTCAACTTTCAGAAGAAAGCCTCCCAACGTGTCACACCCATCAACCACACCCATTTCAACTGATAGCCTCAAGCAGTGTCCTTCATACCTGTCTTACCTTGGCCATCCTTGAAAGGGCCAAATCTAGTCTAGGCAAGAATAGAGGATCTATACTTCTCAGGCCCCAAAGCTGCACTTGGGAGAGCATTTTGCCTTAACTGGCATTTTAGAAAAGGCTATAGAGGTTTCCTTGGAGCAGTGCCTGGAGATAGATGCAGGAGAAACCAAAGGCCAAAGACCGCACTGAAACCCAACATTATATCCTCCAGCCCCACTCCCCAAAACCATGCTTTTTCTTCTTTTTCTTTTAAAAGAAACAATTGTATGCATTCCTTGCATATATAACAAAATAAAAGAATAACAAGAGTTGGAAGGGATCTTGGAGGTCTTCTAGTCCAATCCCCTGCTCAAGTAGGAAACCCTATACCATTTCAGACAAATGGTTGTCCATTGTCCTCTTAAAAATATCCAGTGTTGGAGCATCCACAACTTCTGGAGACAAATCATTCCACTGATTAATTGTTTTAACTGTCAGTTCTAGGTTAGTTTTCCACTTGATTAGTGTCTATCCATTGCTTCTTGTCCAGTCTTCAGGTGCTTTGGAAAATTTGCTCCCTCTTTTTGTGGTAGCCCCTTAAATGGAACATTGCTATCATGTCACCACTAGTCCTTCTTTACATTAAACTAGGGATATCCAATTCCTGCAACTGTTCTTCGTATGCCTTAGCCTCCAATCTCCTAATCATCTTTGTTACTCTTCTCTGCATTCTTTCTAGAATCTCAACATCTTTTTCATATTGTGGCAACCAAAACTGATGCCGTATTCCAACTGTGGTCTTACAAGACATTATAAAGTGGTACTAACACTTCATGTGATCTTGATATATTGTTTGAGGTATTGTGAATGTTAAGAAAGATTACTTGAACTGCACATCTCAAGCCTTCAGCTAGTTCAGGAAGGATCAGATAAGCATTGTACTATGAAAGTATACAGTGTGCTGCCATTGCTTGAATCATTAGGATAGATGAAAGAAATACAAAGAAATACAGTTACAATTTTCATGATCCAAATGATGTTGACTTACTTGACCAGTGTGTTCAGTTTCATCTTTATTAATGAGATACATCAGAAAAAATCTGAAATAGAGATCAAAACCATGATCATTATTACTGATAACATACAAAATAATACAAGGACTATTTCCTATAAAATTGGGATATGAAGTATTTTGAACATTTTACAAATTGGTTGCCTGAGTTAAGTTCAGACAATCATGGAAGTTTGTTGGATCAGAAATAAGCTGTATGTCTGTGGACACTTTCCTCCCCACTTCCCATCAAACTTTCTTGAACTGGACAAATTAGAAAGTTCTGGTTGAAGAGAATTCTCCAAACTGAGATGCTAAAACAAGATCTAGTTTCAGATCAGTAGAATTCTCAAGAAAGTACAATCAATAGTATTATAAATTCATTATAAAAAGTTAATGGTAACACAATTTAGAAATAAAATAAAGCATCGCTAAATTTCAGGCATTCTTTAAGGATTTACATATATGTGATATAATAGGATTTATAGGATGTATTTTCTGAATTGCCAGTTTAGCAGTATTTCTGTTGGAGAAATGTTCTGGATTTCCAAATCCAGTCATCAAATTTACAACATAATTTCAAATATAAGTGTTTTATCAAAACACATACAGGCACACACAATTTACACATTGCTAACTATACAATCATTATGTCTAATATACTCTTTATATTTAGAAACAAATTACCACATGTTATTTGCAAAATTACAAGTTACTGAAAGACTATAGTTCAAATTTTATTTCCTTAAAAAGGTCACAGAACATTAATATTGATTCGTTTACTTACAGATAATTAGCCAAGTTGTGCTCCTGTAGAGTATGTGTTTCAAAGCCATGTGGCACTGTATCAAAATAATCATTACCTATTCCACAGATAAAACATTTAGTCTAAAAAGAATTTAGAAAGATATATATTGTTAACATATTTGTTTCAATTTCATTCTGTGTGTGTATGTACATGCACGTATTTGTGAGCGTTCCACACACTTCAAGAATAATTTTAAACTTAAGGCTGGCATTTTTTACTATTCTGTTCTTGCATTTTAGTTATTTCAAACACAGAACAAAATGTGCTTCTCCAGAGACCCTCATACTGCACTATTTTGCCATGTGCCGTGTGTTTCTTTCCTGAGATAGTGCATCACCAAGGACAATCACACCCCTAATCAGGCACATACATGGTTTAAAAAAAAAACCAAGATTACAGCCATGACTATGATCAAAGCTGCCATCTGGATCTTTCTGACTGTTCCCTCCCCTTTGCAATCCCCAAGTCCCTTCTGCTACAGGCTGAGCTTGGAGATGTGCCCTGGAATATAGATTTGAAGCAGAGGGAATTTAAACACCCAAGTCTCACTGAGACAAACTTTCTAGGCATGTCTGATTTGATGACCAATTTAGAGAGCAAAACAAAGAATGATTTCAATGTTGAAGTTATTGGGTAGTTGGATAGTATGAGAAAAACAAAAGAGAAAGAAGTTCTCTCACCATTGCCAATCTCTTTGGATTTTTTTCAGCCCACTTTTGAGTTTAAAAGGAAAAATTTCTACCACCTCGCTCCAGAAAGACCACCTGCTTGACTATTGTGTTGACAATGACAATGATGGCATTTCATAGATAAACACACACGTTTGAATATTATTACTTAATAATAATATTTCCTATTTTACATAGAGGGCTATCTTACTGGCTTCAAAGTTTGAAGAAACAGTACAAAGAGTATATACATTTTTGAATTTTGGTGTTGGAGAAGACTCCTGAGAATACTGTGGACAGCCAAGAAAACAAACCAATAGATCATTCAACAAATCAACCCTTGAATTCTCACTTGAGGCACAAATGTCTAGGCTCAAATTATCCTACTTCATACACATTATGGGAAAACCAAAAGTTGGGAAAGATGGAAGCAAAAAGAAGAGGATGATCAGCAGCAAGGTAAATGGACTGAGTTATAGTGGCGATGGTGCACCATTGGAAAACCTAGAAGACCAATTTAGTACAAATTGATATGGAGAAAAATCTATCTAGGTGAACAATAAGAGTAATGGCTTTATAACACATGATCAAATCCAATCTACTCCCATGCACAGGAGTGAAGCAGCTCCAATTATTCTGTAGCCTTCCGCATTTCAATTCTATACTTAATTAAAGAAGAAACTATTTTCTTGCCACTGCATGGAGAAGGTGGTATTTCACAGAAATATTTATGAATCAAAAGGGGAATACATAAAATTATTACCTCCATGTCTTCTTTAACTTGTTCTTGCTGATCTCTTAATTCTCCAAATGCATCAATAATTAAGCCTGGCAATAAGGTTATAATTTAAACTTTTGAGGAACTAGGACAAAAACTGCCAAATCAACAAATTAATGCTAAATATGAAGATTCATGCTTCACCACAAAGTGCCACGTACTTTTGAAAATATTTGGTGCAGATTTGCAAATACAATAGCCAGATAGTATACTACAAACTATTAGATACAGTATTCAACAGCTTTACTGAACTTCTTCGTAGCAACAAAATTTCCATGATATACATTGAGTTTTGAAAGCTGTTCCAAACTGTCATGTCAATTTTGGTATAGTATTATGTGTACACAGTTTTCCCCATTTTAAGTGGCCACTTGTCACCCATGATAAATAAGGAAACTTTCTGTAGACCTTGAGAAGGTTGGGTATAAATTGGAATACAGATGAAGAAAAGTACACTTCTTGACAGATTTGGTGGCAGATTTCATGACACTCAAAAAACAAAAGAAAATTCTGTCCTCTTTCAATAATTAAGGAGTTGCAGCATCTAGCAGCCTGGCAGTATTCCCCAAAATTTCTAGAATGACCCAATGGGAATCATCCTTACACTATGATCAAGTCTTCCCAAAGGGAACATTTGAAGTTTTTTTTGGGGGGGGGGGTGTGTGAAAGAAAGCCTTTGCTACTTTATTTATAATGGTACTTAACTGGCTACCTTACCAAACAAGAGGGGAGGGGACCCCGGGGGCATCTGATCTGATACATGAAATTACAGAACTCACTAGCCTGAAACCTAGTACTAATTTCAAAATAGAATTATTACCTGTGTTGATTTGATTTGTTAAAGAAAAAGAGGACTCCCCACAGATTAAATGGTCTTGTTTGTCATTTAAATCAAAGTTTTCCTGATACAATTAATAATTAGAGAAATAGTGTCTATGCATGTGTGTATGCTTATGTATATCTGTGTGTATATGTATGCATACCTGTTTTCAATATCACCTCTTCCTTCCTCTCAACAAGACTTTTTACACAGAAAATAAATATTGCAGTTGCCAAAGGATATACCATATGATAAAATCTATTAGTGGTGTGGCTCAAAATCAAGCTTGAACAATGCAGAGGATAACAAAATTAAGGGCAATTTCATTTTCAAGTAAACTTTTGCTTTTCTAATAATTTGCATGCCGAAGCAGAAATTTACATAGTCAGAATCTGAGCAAAGGAAGAGAGAAATATAGAAAATGAATCTGTCTGCTCTTAATCCTTTGCATGTGGTTGATATAATATCCTCAGGTAGATTTAAAACTGAAGCGTTCAAAATCTTTATGTTTCCTTCATAAGAGAAGAGAACCAGTCTTCCTCATTTTAAGAAATTTGACTTAGAATGTATTCCTTCCATTTTATATTTCTATTCAATGCCTGGAAAAAAATATTTGCTTCATAAGGGATTGAGTAAAGGACTCAACAATTCTTTTCCCACCAAGGATGAAGGAAATAACCCTAGAATTCATTCTGCTGCTAGAGGAATTTGCCTTTAGTCTTCCACCTAAGATTATTATGTTTCAAACATTGAAGAACAGAAGCAAATATATTAAGTACAAGAAGTTTACATATTTCACCATACATTTCACACTGTGATAAAAAATAGCATTATCAGTTAGGAAAGTGTGATTTTGGTAATTATAAAAAACATTTAAACTGATAAAAATAATGGAAGCATACCTTGTATGATAGCTAGTAGAATAACAATTACAAAAAAGAAAAATGTAATATCAAAGATGATTCGATATATTTCATATTCATCGCCTGCAGGGTCTTCAATTTCATCACCAATTCCACCACCAGCACGCACTCCCACATACATGTGAAACATATAGCACTACAAGCAACATGAAAAAGTCCTCATAGTTTAAAAAGTACATTTTGCATAACCTTCTATTTTGGTAAATATTTACTAGTTTATTTGAAAGGAGGAAGAAGGGAACTCAATTCTTACTTATGTTTGACTTACTTGCTTGAACTAGTAAATGTCCTAATCAAGTAACTACCAACTCAGACTAACGATCAAACAGTAAACAACAGCCTAATTAAGGAACCACCAAGAATATTCCTGCCAACACTGACAGGACAAGACACCTGAATTTAAACAGAGCAAACTCCACTCCCTTCTAGCATTGATGATGTTACCTAGTTGGGTAATTAAATGTCTTCAAGAAAATAACCAAGCTCAGAGAGCATTGGGGGTCCCCACACTGTTATTTTAATTAATATTAGTATATTCATTTAGAAGAATGAATGTATATGTTATCCTGAACATTATACATTCAAAACAATATACAAGTATGAAAAATGAATATCAACCATCTAAATGATTCTTAGTTTAATACTTTACCCAATTCAATAAGTTTAACAGAAGCAACCTTCTGTTGCTTGCTTCCGTTAATTTACAGAATGTAACCACAGTTTGAGAGATAGGTTGATATAGTAGTTAAAAGCATCAGGCTAGAAACCAGGAAATTTAGAATCCATTCCTGCCATAGGCATGGAAGGTACTGAGGGTGACTAATTCTCTCTCAGTGGAATATGACATTATATCTGTTCTTGTGATGAAACATGTGTTGAATTTATTGAAGAGGTTGCTTGGGTTGCTGATGTATCCCTTTGTGTTTTGTAAACAGAAACTGTTTCCACTCTTAAAAATTTACCCATTTAAAATCATATTAACAAATTAGAAGAAAAACAAAAGTGAAGTTTACCGTCAGCATATCATCACATTTCATATCTGGCATATCTCCATCTTCACTCTTATTGTAGAATTTTCGGAAGAAATTAAAAGCAACTACTGTGTATAGATAAACTACTACTGCTAGTAATCCAACAGTTAGTACAAGCTAAAAAAAGAAGTAATAAAGTAATGAATATTTTGGAATTCCCTTGATTGTAAACTTATTTTTTAAAAACCATAAGAAGATCAATGTTCATTTGATTTCTACTTCATATTAAACAATTTATAAATTATGTAAAGAAAAGCAATAATCTTCTGCTACATGGCAGTAATTCCAACTGAAGTTGGGTGGAACTTCTGTAATCTTTTACATGAGCAAAATATATAAATAAATGTATTACAATCGTGCAATTGAAATCATGCTGAATTGGGAATAATATTGATTGAAAAGAAATAAAAATAGATCTGAGTATACCTAAATTTTATTATTAGATCAAACGTATTGGGAGTCTTATGGAAATGAGTCAAAAGTAGAGTTACAAGTAGAATTCAGAGTTTATTACATTTCCTTCAAATTTTTAAATAAACAATTGATTTCTTTCATGGTTGGCATAATTATATAATGTTCCTCTTGGTAAATCTTATTTTAAAGGCATGTAACTTTTCACAAAGTTAATGACAGAATAAAGAGCTATTACCTGTTTCCCATTGTGGGTCACTGATGATAGAATTGTTCGTAATGTTTTAAATCCCATTGCTATGTCAAGGAGGTGTGCAGCAAAGAAAAAGTTGTTGTAATGACCAAGGACTGACATGGTCATATACCAGGCCAGATACAGAAAAGACTTTAGAAGAAAAGGAACAAAATAGATTTAAGAAAAGAACATACAGTCAGATAAAAACTTCTTTTTACTGTAGCTGTAATTGTAACATCCAAATGGACTTTTAAATCAATTTTTGAAGTAACATGTTTTTAACTTGAAAGAATAAAACAGGTAATGCATTATGTAAAACACATAAAGTCTTCATAATAAAGTTTTACATAACTTTATCATCTTAATTCCGTGCTTCAATTAAATTTCAAGAAAAAATAACATAAGGGAAATTTCCCTATTAGCAGTAATAGTTAACTATTACTGCTAAGACCCAGTCAGATCCTTAAATAATTTGTCCTCTCCTAGAAAAAATTAGAGAATCCATCAATCCAATTTATTTGCCCATAAATTTGATGAATAATTTTGAAAAGTGATTTAAAATATTCTACTTTAGTACTCTAATTAATATTGACTTAATATTACATACTTACATTATCAGTGAAAACAACACCTAGTTTCCACATTTGATATTTTACATCAATAGAATTCAACCTGAAAGAGCACATATAAAAGAAGAAATAAAATAAAATAAATCATGGAAAAAAATGAGTCAGTGATCATCGATCACTAGATACTTTACTGAATGTAGGCTAACTAGATTTGAAAAAAGGTCTAAAAGCAGTAGCAAAACACTTCTATATTATAGCCACAAAAACAATATGTATTTGTATTCAAGGTTACCTCAGGCTTTACTTTTTAGACTGGTTTTAATAGTTTTGTATTTTTACCAGTGCCATTAGAAAATAAGGATAGGAAAGGAGTCAGTGTTTTTAATAAATGAATCAAAGAAAACAAGTTATGTATAAAATCTTGAAGCAAAAGAAGATCAGAAAAAAAATTCAATATGGGCAAAATTAAGTAACAGATGTGGCAAGACCCTAGAACCACTCAATGGTTTATTATCAAGTTTATTGATCCTTGCCTTCTGGGTGATAGAAAGCACCAATTCATTTTAGATGATTCCTTACACTAAACAGGTTAGGTTTCCTCTCTTCTTTCCCTCCCTCTTTCACTGAAGCACTAAATCTATATTAAAGTATCTAAGATATGTCAGAGTCTAGACTTACTTATGTGACAGTGGGTGCTCTAACACTGGAGGTTTTTAAGAAGAGATTGGACAACCATTTGTCTGAAATGGTCTAGGGTTTGCTGCCTGACCAGGGAGTTGAACTAGATCTCAAAGATCCCTTCCAACTCTGTCATTCTGTTATCAGGCATGGTACAACTAATTAATGGAAGATTTTGGGCACAATTTATTTTAACCCCATCAGTTCAAAAGAACAAGATTTTAATTGATGGGTCTAGTCTAAGAACTCATGCTGACAAGCTAACCAGTGATAATAGCTGTTATATTTTGATAACTATGAGTTGCCATTTCTCCTCAGAACAAAAGTAGTGAGAGTAGAGCATTATTCCAGTTCTTATCGGCATTATTAAAGTGTGAAAGTCCAAGTCATAAACTGCTCAAGTAATTTGAAAATCTAAACAATTTAAAACCAAACAATTTCCATATATATTTTATTGCTAAGCAATGAGTTTCATTAATCAATTTAAGAATGTGTTAATAAAACTCCTTTTTGTGGCATAACCCTTCACAGATGGAATTAAATATAAAAGGTATAAACGCTACTAATTATTTGTCACAGTGGGCAATCTCTGATTAAATACCGAGTTTGCAGTATGATATTTATTTGTATTTACTTTATAGGAAATAGAGTTCAACCTACTAGTTCATTTGTTTTTTTATAGCATTCTCTCCCCATCCCCACTCCCAATTTGTGAATGCTGATATTTGTAATGTCAGATTTATGTCCGTGTATTACTTTACATAGCATTACACTGCAGAGGTGCTATTCAACTAGTTCGCAGCTATTCAGGAGAACCGGTAGTGGTGATTTGGCTTGGGTCGCAGAATTGGTGGTGACACCTGGCTGGCCATGCCCCTGAACTGGGTCACCCCATCACCCACTTGTCCCAGTTGCTCTCCTAGCTTTCCGTATCACGTGGTGGCCATGGGGCAGCTCGGGTGGATGCACACATGTGCAGCAGCCCCAGGATATTCACCTGCCTGCCCACCTTCCCGGAGCACGTTTTCTTCCTTCTCCCAGAGGCGGACGCACCTCTTCCAGCCCAGGCCAGCCCAGGCCAGCCCGGCCAGCAAGCATCAGCTTCTCGCTCCCCTTGTCGCCAATGCCTGAAGCAGCAGCCCCTCGGACGGCTTAGCCAGGAGCCACCGTTCCCAGGTTTAGTGTCTGGTCCTGCCCCTCACCCTCCCTTCCCTCGCCTGGCCTGAGAAGGTAAGGGTGATGGCAGGGGATAGTGAAGCGGCCAGTCCCTATCTTCCCCTGTCTTTCCCCCACTCTCTGTGTCTTTGTCTGTGTGCCGGTCATGAGTGGAGGAGGAGAAGGGTCGCCTGAAGGGACTGGTTGAACAAGGATTGCCAGCTGCGCTGGAAACGTCTCATCAATTTCCATTTAACATCGCTGGTGCCTCTAGTGGCAGATGCGCATTTGTGCTTGCCATTTCCACCCACTCCCGTCTGCGCATGGTGACCCTACCCCCTCAATGAGGGAGAAAACTGCATTTTTGCTTCAGCCCGTCCCCGTTGCTGAATTTCGCTGCTACCACCTCCTTGGCGACAACCGATCATGGGACCTCTATCTCCTCAAGTGCCAGCCTCTGTGTTACTCGCTGAAAATGGGGGGAAAAAACACACACACAGCCAAACCAGCAGCAGTCTCAGTGGTAGTCCCGGTAGCAGCAGCGGTGGTGGTTTCACCCTGCCCCCAGCCATCAGCCGCCCCGAGCTAAAGAAGCTGGCTGCATCAGGGGAGTCGACCAGCTGAGCGTGCAAAACAAGGCGCCTCGGACTGCCCGCAGCTCTCCTTCTTCCTTTCCCCCATCCTCTTTCAGGGGCTTCCTACCCACCACTCTGCTTGCTCTGTGTGTGGGTCTGGCTGGCTGCCTCTTTCCTATGCTGCCTTCCCCTCAGCGATTCCATTCAGTGCTTGCCCCCTCTCACCCCTCCACCCCCCCCCACACACACACCTGCTCAATCCCCCACCCCACCTCAGGTCATGAAAGAGATGAGCGAAGGAAAAGGGGGTGTGACTGATTCTGCAGAAGATGCCACCCATGAGGGCAGAAAAAGGCCTGGGAAGAATGGAAAGAGATTTTGCACGCGCTCTCTTCTGAGCCCTACTGCTTGCAAATCCCCCCTCCTCACCTCTTCTTCCCCCAGCCCTGCCAGTGTAGTCTGCAAATCCCCCCACCTTCCACTCCATGCTGCAAAGCTCGACAGCCCCTCAAACGATGCAGAGCTCCATCCTGCAGCATATTGCAAAGCTCAGCCTCTCTCTCTCCCTCCCCCTAACCCCACCACCCCGAATGCCATCACTCGCCATGCTCTGCACAACAACCAGAAGAAAGCAAGTCAATGCAGCTTTCCTCTGTCTTCAGGTTAGGGGGGGAACCTTCCACTTGGGTGGTTCGTGCCCTGTGGAAGTTCCTCTGTTCGCCGCCGTCCCTTGAAAGTAGCGAAGAGTGCTTGGCCCAGCTGTGGCTTTGAGAGAGACAGAGACAGAGACAGACAGACATTGACACAGAGAGAGAGAGAGAGAGAGAGAGAGAGAGTAGGGAAGAGAGTGGGGAAGATAAGGAGAGGGGCTAAGAGAGAGAGAGAGAGAGAAAGACAGAAAGAGAGAGAGAGTAGGGAAGAGAGTGGGGAAGATAAGGAGAGGGGCTGAGAGAGAGAGAGACAAAGACAGAAAGAGAGAGAGTAGGGAAGAGAGAGGGGAAGATAAGGAGAGGGGGAGAAAGAGAGAGACAGAGAGACAGAGATACATGGGGGGAGAGACCCATAGAGAGAGAGAGACACAGAGAGGGGGGAGGAGAGAGAGAGAGAAAGAGAGAGAGAAAGAGGAAAAGAGAAAAAGAGGGAATGAGAGAGGAAGGGAGAGAGAGACAAAAAAGAAAAGAATGAAAAAAGAGAAAGAAAGAGAAAAGAGAAAAGAAGTGAAAAGAAGAAAAGGGATAGACAAAGAAAGGGAGAGATGGAAGGAAGGGACAAAGAAAGAAAAAGAAAGAGACGGAGGGAGGGAGGAGACCATGAATGAGATATATGGATGGGTAGATAAATACATGGAAGGAGGGAGGGAGGGAGAGAGAGAGAAAAAAAGGAGAGGAAGGACACAAACACTGGCTTCAGAAGACTCTTTGAAGCACACAGCAATCTAGGCTGGCCTGCAAGGGATCTCAGAGGTCATCTAGTCCAAGCCCCATCTCCAGCAGGATATCCTTACAGAATAATTGAATAGCAGGGTTAGAAGTAAGCAAGCGTGTGTGTATGTATGTGTGTGTGTGTGTGTGTGTGTGTGTGTGTATCTGTCAAAACTCCAAAACTGGTCAAGTAGCTCTGGGGAGATCAGTCATAAATTAGAACACTTGCTAAGCAACTGGCCATTAAGCGAGGACCACTTGTATTTGGTTTGCTGGTCACATGGTCGCCTGGCCATGCCCACCCACATGGCCACAAAGAAATGCCCACCCAGTCACATGGCCACAAACCCATGCCCATCTGGTCATGTGCCCAAGCCATGCCCACACAGTCACATGACCACCAAGCCACACCCACAAATTAAGCCACGCCCACAGAACCAGTAGGAAAAAAATCTGAATACCACCACTGTTACACTGGGTTCATTGTTGTAATCCTGATAAATAATGGTATATAACATATTGGAACATTCTTTGTAAGAAACTGCAGGGCAGCAATCAACCAAGGGATGGAACACTGAGAGATGATGGAATTAACCATCAGACTCACAGTTGCAACAGAGCCTTCTGAAGACAATAAATTCAGTAGTCTCACTTCTGTAAGTCAGATATCACAAGCAAGAAAAATGTTGAAGTTTCAACAACAAATAAGAAATGCTTGAGTAAGCAAAAATTTAATGCAAGAGATAGAGGCATTCGGTAAGGTAGCAGGACTCAAAATCGACTAAGATAATAACTAAAAATTGTACCAAAGGCAAAATGAAGAACTGACAAAGGAATTAGGGATTCAGATGACGAAAATGGTAAAATATCTGGGAATTTGGCTCCACGATAAAGGTTGATAATTATGACAAACTGATAGACCAGATACAGAAAGATTTAGACAGATGGGTAAATTTACAATTTTCTTGGATGGGAAGGATAGCAACCATCAAAACAAATGTATTACCAACATTACTGTATCTCTTTCAAACCGTGCCAGTCAAACTAGGGAAAAAATTTTTTGAAGATCTGAACAAAAAAATTGCCAAATTTATTTGGCAAAAGAAAAAAGCCAGAGTAAAATACAAATCAATGCAGGATAGTAGAAGTAAGGGAGGATTGACTCTCCCAAACTTTGAGTTATACTATCAGATTGCAGCGAGTACTTGGATTAAAGATTGGATTAATCTGGAGGATAAAATAATATTGACAATAGAAGGCTTCGATTTACAGCTTGGCTTGCATGAGTTTCTCTGGGATGGAAAAAATAGAAGTCATACTTATTTCCAAAGACACTGGATAAGAGACGCTCTGTTACATGTATCCGAAAGAATTAAAAGAAACCACTATGTGAAAATACCTCTCTGGCTATCCCAATGGAAGTGTTAATATATCCCAACATTATGGATTTGAATAAAACAATAAAATACAAAGAACTTATAACAGATGAAGGTGACCTGAAAACATAGATACAATTAAAAACACAAGGAATTGAAATAGGGTGGTGGCCATACGTTCAAATCCAAACAAAACACAAAAAAGACAAGGAACAATTGGGATTTTATAACGCAGGTTGACCAGGAATTAGATAAAATACCACAAGGAGGTGAAAAAAAGATTACTAAAATGTACAATTGCCTATTGGAATTCAAAATGGAAGAGGAAACAGTGAAGGAGAACATGATAACATGGGCCAAAAATTGTGTTCATAGTATTGAATTAGAACAATGGGAATAAATTTGGAAAACTAATTATAAATTAATGTTATCAGTCTCATATAAGGAAAATATTTACAAAATGTTTTACCGCTGGCATTTGCCACCAGTGAGACTAGCTAAAATGTTCCCCAGCCTGTCTCCTAAATGTTGGAAATGCAATTCTAGCCAGGGAACGTATTTTCACATGTGGTGGACGTGTCCCCAAGTGCGAAAGTTTTGGCTTAAGATCCAGGTCGGGCTAGATGAATTGACAAAACAAAAGATAAAGTTTAACCCAGAGACATTCTTATTGGGAATGTCAGACCCGACATGGGACAAGAAGCGACAGCATCTAATATTACATATTATTACAGTGGCAAGGATAGCTTTTGCTCAAAACTGGAAATCAACAATGGTACCCACAGATTTGGCAGTAATCAATAAAATTCACCAATGCACAGAAATGATTAGATTAACCATGATATTAAAAAACAAGGAAGAAGGAGACTTCTTTATAATATGGAATATCTGGCACAAAATGGTTGAGTAAAAAGGAAGTAAAGATGTATAGTGAAAATGATTAAAGAAATAGGAAAATAGGTTAAATGTACATATAGATATACATATATGTAAAGTAATGTAAATAAATGAATATTGTAACTTAATAATGATACAAATAAGTAAGGATTTAGCAAATAAGATACAGATATATATGTAGTAAATGAACTCAATTGACACTAATAGATATGTACACTGTGACGACAATGCTGCAAAATGTGAGAACATGTTTCTCTTTTTTTTAAAAAAAAATTGAAACTTCTGAATAAACAATTTTTTAAAAAAAGAAATGCTTGAGTAATCTTTAAAGCAATATTTTAAATACTTACACAGCTGATAAAGAACTATCCTTTTTGGGTTTCTTTTTTTCTCGGGCATCACTGAAATCTAGAGCAGCCTTGTCCATTCCCAGCAATTCACTGATTCTGTCTTTGCCATAAAACTCTCCATATTTATCCATAACCTGAAACAATATAGTAACAATTATATTTCCTTCTGAAATGTTATTTATCTAAACCCAAGTGATTAAGGTGCAGTATTTTTATATAAAATTCCATATTTTTAGATACCTCTAACTTTAATAATGGAGCAGAGAGAATCAAATTAGAAGGATCTTTGACCTGATAAGTTATAGGTTTCTATACCCTAGTGGTTTGAAGAGAACTTGTAAACTGGATTGCAGGATCTTCTACAATGAGTAAGAAGTTAAATGCAAACTCAATCAGGAAGCTCTTTGATTTAGATTTGCTGGTTCTAAATTAGTCCTGGCAATGGGAAGGGTGACAGAAATGAGGAAAGGAAACTAATTTGGGAAGAGGCAATACTCTAACTTTGGATCTGGCAAGGAGGAGGGAAAAAAAGGAAGGCAGAGATGGAAAAAGGAGCAGAGACAGAGAGAAAGAAAAGAATATAAGAGTGTTTGGAAATAGCAGGGAACCTCTTCCCTTCTCCAGCTTAATAAATATTGAGGAACAAGAGGGGAATAAGGGCAGACATGAGACTTTGTGCAAAAGGTACTAGAACAAGTATTGTCAGCTAAATCAATATGGTGTGAAGAGCTGTGAGGAGAAGCTGAGAAGCAACTTGGAGATTTAGCTCAAGAAAATAAAGGTGCAAAGACAAGAGAGAAAAGAGAAAACTAGACTGAAGACTATCATCCAGGAAGCCACTACAGGAGTAATGGCAGAGAACATTAAAGTGAGCCCATTTAGGAAGGTACAGAAGGATAGGCAATGTGGTCGCAGATAGTTAACTAAATTACATAATATATAGTTCCTCTTATATCAACAGGCATATTGCTTATATTGTGCTCTCTAATTATTGCATATAAATAAAAATGTTTTTAAAAATCTTTTGTATTTAAATGTGGGATATTCTTTTCCCTATTGGATAGCCTAGGTGAGGGGGGAAGACATATCTTAGGACTTCTTTTGTTAGCAGAAATGTGCAAGATAAAATATATTCTACAGGAGCTGGAACATCTCTGGGAGAAGACTCATCTAAGTATATCATTAATGTTATAGCTGGTTAAAAGTATCATATCTCTTTAAATCACAAACTGGGTAATGATTTTGAACATAAAAGTACTGAGCAACCCTTGTTCATGTAAATGAATGTATGTTGGTTGGAAGAGAGAAGGAAGCCATACATAAAAGTTTTAACTCCATTTATGCTGACTCATCAATAGAGTCAACTCAACTTTATTTTAATCTAACAAACCAGTGCCTTTTTTTAAAATGCAGAGAAAGGTATATATACTCTCTTCTTATTTGACAACCACAATTCATTCCTTAAATCAGAAACAAGATAGTAGCTAAATTAAAATGAGAGGGAGGGAGGGAAGGAGAGAGAGAGACTGTGAAGATCACCAGTAGTTGCCATCTCATTTAGATAAAGTTCTTTCTCTTGCAGCTATATATAGTGTTACTCTCATTCTATTGAGCATTCCATACTCTCATTCATCTGTGTGCACTGTTGTAAGGCAAATTAAATTAGGCTGCAAGTGTGTGTGCAGGGTTGGAAAATGATTTTTTAAATTACCATTTTATTTGCAAACATTTGCTAAATGAGGTAACCATTAAACTCCGTGAGGCTGGTCAACACTGATTCAAAAGTATACACACACAAACAATCAGAGACTTAGTAATATTCACTGAGCAATGAATATATATGACAAGCTTCATGAGCGGTGTACTCTGTTTGATGTAAAACTGAGTGAAAGATCCCAATATAGATACTCAATATGGATAAGAAATCTGATCATATGAACTCATAATTACAACCAATAATGGTAGAAAATAATGTAGTGAGAAATTAGACCATGCTATTAATTATTTATTAATTAATTATTAATTAGACCTTGCCAAAACTATGGTCACGAGTCACAGTCATCCCCATGTTCAGAAAGGGAGACCCCAGCCTAGTTGACAATTATAGACCAATCTCTTTATGCTGCATCACCTGTGGAATCAATTATTAACCAAATGGAATCAATTATTAACCAATCCATCATCCTCCACTTAGAAACAAACAACCTACTCTCTAATAAACAATTTGGTTTTAGGAAAAAGCTATCCTGTAATCTGCAACTCTTACACTGCAAAAACATATGGACTACACAACTCGATCAGGGCAAAGCAATAGACGCAATCTACATAGACTTCTGTAAAGCCTTTGATTCAGTGGTACACGACAAACTGCTCCTAAAACTAAAATCTTTTTTTTTTCAAAAATTTTTATTAATTTTTTAAAAAACAAACATACAAATCAAACACAAAACATGAAAACATAAAACATCTTTTTTGAAAGCTGCTTGATCCCGGTTTACATCTCTTCGTACAGACATAAGTTCAAGTTCATGCTCACTTTTATATACCATTCCATATCTTATTACCATTCTACATTTTCTATATAGCTTCTCCCCTTTTTTCACTCTCTTAATTCTATTTTATTTATTTCATCTCAATTTAAATCATTATACTTATATCCTTTGTTCTGTTTCAACTGTGTATTATCTTTTCTCATTAACACAAAATTTCTCCTGTAATCACTGATTGGAGTATGACGCCTTTATTTCTTTCCCCTAAATTTAACACTTAATACATAACTTTCATTCAGATTCTGCTTAGTACATTCTAAAGCTACACACTATATTTTAAGAAAAGAAAAAATTATAAATATATAATATAATTAATACAACAATCCATACCAATTGAACTCTATCGTTAAAATTAATATTCATTTAAATCTTAAACATTTTACACATTCCTTTTCAAATAGGTATCATGCTTCTATGGGAACCCTTATAAATTTTGCATAGTTACTTCCCTCCCATTTCACTTATATTTTAAAACATTATGTAATTAAAATGTTCCCATTCCTTCTTAATTCAATTCTCTCATATTTCATTTCATTTATTTTGTTCAAAAAAGAAAAAATTTCACTAAATTACATGAATATTTTATCCCATTTTGTAATCATATGTTGTTCCAATTTTCTAACATTATTTCTAATACAAATACTACAATACAGTCTTATTTACCTTTGCAGAAGCTCTTTTTCAGTTATATTTTTACCCATTATCTCTAAATAAATCCTCTTTCTTTACATCTTGTTTCAAACCTTTGTAGCTTCTCTTCCCTTCCTTCCTCCCTTGCTTCTTCACTCTGCCCTTTTTACCCCCTTGTCTCTCTATCTCCATTTCCCTCTTCTGTATTCTGCTTTTCTGTTGCTTTCTGACATTATATCCACTTTTCACCTTATTTTTCCCTTTTTTGGTTGTTTTTTTAGGTCTTAAATTCTCCATTCTCTTTTCCCTCTTTCCCCTTTCTTTCCCGGATAAAGTTACTTGTTCATTAAAGATGGCTTCTTCTTTGTCCCAATCTTCTTGTTCTTGTAGTTTCTCATAAGTAGAGATCGCCATTTCTAAAAAATGAAAAACGGAGCCAAAAGAGCCCTTCCCTTCTTGTTCCTCTTCTTTATATTTTTTAAATTCCATTTTCAGTTCTTCCACAAGTGATGCCATTGTAAAAAAAAAATTTAAACAACCACCCAAGTATTTTTAATCATTGAAATATAATTTCCAAAAGTCCCAAAGTCACCAAACAGTCCAAATACACACAAACTGTTTTATTTAACACTTTCCTCTTTTTTCACTTTCTCTTCCTGGGGTTACAATTCAGTTACAAGTTCCAATTAAAATGTATCTTTTAGAAATCTTGTTACAATTTAACTTTCAATTCTTTTAAATTCCAAGCAGTCTCCTCCAGCCAAATCTTACTCTTTATTCTTTTCTTCTCTCTTCCCACTTACAGCGAAAAGAAGTTTTTTCAATGTTCAGAAATCTTTATTGTCCCCTTGGCTTTGATTTTCAGTTTAATTACCTGCTGATGCCAAAGCGGGTTTTTCTGATTTCTCATTCATCTGCTGTCACCGTAAGGAAGGAGAGTGAGAAAAAACAAACTTTCCCTTTTCACTTTCATTCGCTGCTTCCAGATCTTCCTTGGGAACGATGAATCTTTTTTAAAGTTTAAATTCCAGGATATCTTGAATTTTGCTTCTTATCTGGGTCAGCCAAAACTTTCACTTCTTAGCTTCCTCCTGCACATTCTTTTCCGGATGAGTGCTTCTTTGAGGCGGCCATTTCTGACTGCCGCTCTACCGCCTTCAGAAAAGGGAGTTAAGCCAGCTGAGGAGGGGAGGTGCGGCTCCCCTCAAAACCCTACCAGGTCTCCCCTGTCTTTGGCCACCTCTATAGGGTGGCTTTAGCCCCAAAGCTGGCTGGCTCGTGGCACTCCAGCGGCGAGCGCAAGCAGAAACTGCGCATGATCGCAGAGTCCTGCTGCCGCCGAAGCCCAGCAAACCAGAAGTCCCTAAAACTAAAATCTTATGGTATCTCTGGGCACCTGCATAACTGGATAGAAGCATTCCTGTCAAACAGACAACAAATGGTCAAAATTGGAAGCGTCCTATCAAATTCTGTACCTGTCAACAGAGGTATCCCCAAGGCAGTGTTCTAGGACCAACTCTCTTCATACTCTACATAAATGTCCTCTGTGATCATATCAAGAGCAACTGTGTTCTCTTCGCTGACGATGTAAAGCTATTCAATACCACAGACAATACTGCTACCCTTCATTCTGTATCAGAATGGTCAAACAAATGGCAACTTCAAATCTCAACAAATCAATGCTTTGTCCTACATCTTGGCCAAAAAAAATCAGAAAATAAAATACAGGCTGAATAGTCAAGACCTTGTTGATGATCCAAACTCTGTCAAGGAACTTGGAGTACTCATCTCAAATGACCTAAGTGCTTGAGCCCACTGTAACTATATAGCCAAAAAGACATTAAGAGTTGTTAACCTAATCCTATGTAGCTTTTTCTCTGGTAATATCATACTACTACTAAGAGCATACAAAACATTTGCTAGACTAATGCTTGAATATAGCTCATCAGTCTGGACCCCACATTATGTATCTGACATTAGCACAGTTGAGAAAGTCCAGAAATATTTCACAAGAAGAGTTCTCCACTCCTCTACTCATTGTAGAATATCTTATGCCACCAGACTTGAAAACCTTGAATTACGCCATCTTCGGTCCAATCTAAGTATGGTATATAAAATCATACATTGCAGTGACTTACCTGTCAATGAATACTTCAGTTTCAACCATAACAACACAAGAGCAAACAATAGATACAAAGTCAAGGTTAACCGCACCAAACTTGATTGCAGGAAATACGACTTCAGCAACAGAGTGGTCAATGTCTGGAATACTCTACCTGACTCTGTGGGTTTTTTTCCCCAAACCCCAAAAACTTTAACCTTAGCTGTCTACTATTGACCTCACCCCTTTCCTAAGAGGTCTATGGGGGGGGAATAAGCGCACCGTTGTGCCTACCACCCCTGTCCTCTTGTTTCTTTTGTTTCTTTATTTAAAACTGAAACATATAATTCAACAATAATGAAAGACTTTACCTTTCTTTTCACAAACTTGTCCCAATAGTTATTAGGAAAAGACCTGTGATTTGAAAGAAATTGTATTTAAATATGAGTTATCATTCACATCAATAAACAATGTTTTTCTGAACTCCAAATTTACAGGGATCTTTCTTGAAGGTTCCAAGTTTTCCTCACCAATAAAGAGACTTATGGAAGTTACAATTTCTCTCTGGAAAATAATGCTCAATGGAACAGTCAAATAATAATTTAACAAATACAACTAATTCAATGCAAGTTCAGTTTTTTGTCCCTGAAATTAAAGTTCAATATTAAACTGATACTAGTTATTTCCTTTATATTTTTTTAATATTTTATTTCTTAAAATACAATTGCAACTAAATGTCTCTTTTCTCAATCATTTTCCAGTTATAAGGGGTGATTGATTTATTGCATTACTATCAAAGGCATCATTTTTTTCTAATAAACTTATGAATTACTTTCAAATCTGAAATCTGATACCACATGAAGTCCTCATTTTTTTTATAATTCTGGATAAATATTTTCTGTAATGATGGCCATAATGAAATCTTGCATTGCCCAGCATTCAGTATTACAGGAAGCTTAATTTGCTATCTGCTTCGATGCAAAATTGTTCTGGTAAACATTTGCCTGGTAAATGTTAAATATTATATTAAGCCATTAAAAATGTGTAAAAGTAGACAATTTATTTTTAATTTATATCAACTGCACATGTATTTATTCATAAATCAGCTCTATTATATCCAGATCAACGGGAAGATATAAAAAGTTTAGCAAGGATCTTTTAAGTATAAATAAATATTTAAGATTATACAAATTTCAGGGCATCTAATAAAACATACATTTGTTAATTATATGTGTGCATTCTCAGAATCTAAAGATAATGCATTACAGGACTAATTTTGCAATTTTCTGAGACAAGACTTGAACAAAATAATTGAAAGTTGTGAGAAATCCAGAAAATAACTATAGTTGTTTATAAAATATTTTAAGGGATGAAATATAAAGACAATTTATTATTGCCATTCATTACCATTTTTTAATCTACATAAAATCTATCTAGTGTGAATATTTCCTGCCACAATTACACTAAGTGCATACTTAAATGCATTCATGTAATAAGTATATTTCTTAGTCCTCATTATTTCCAAAATAAAATTTCATACTGAAATATACCTAGGAGAGCTATAATTGCCTCCACTTTTGCAATCTGTGTGTCCCAGACGTATTCAATCGCTACTTATTCTTGATAAAAATGAAGTATATAAACCATGGAGACTCAAAAAGATAAAGACTCACTGTGTATTGATGACTAGTCTGTCCCATTGTCCCTTAATATCATCCTCTGAAGGCTGTTCTGTAATATATAGCCCATCAAATTCCAATTTCCTCGCAACTTCTTTTTCTCGCTTAAATATTACCAATGGAACCTGGAAATAGGACAAAAAGTTGTTTAATTCACTTGGAGCAATACTTGGATGCTGAGAAAAATGCAAAGAACTGATAAACTTACTTCTCTAAAGTAAATGTCATTGCCCCTGCCCTTTGGAACATCCCCTCAGAGGTAAGGTAGGCCCTGATTCTTTCATGACATTGCTTGAAGCCCACAGAGAAACAATTAGCCACCGGGTTACTTAGCATCTTGCAAGCCCTTCTTCTGCCTTTCTAACTTTGAGTTTTAATTACTCTACTCTTATTTTAATTGCCTCTTAATATAATATTTATATACAGCTTTTATGTTTTACTTGCATTTTACCTAGTTGCTTTAGGAGGGAGATAAGTGTTTTCCGTATTTGATATATCAATCAATCAATAAAATAGTATGTACAAGGACTTTCTCCCAAAAAGATGATACAATCCAGTGAAGAGAGATGGCAAGGGTGAGGAAAATGAAGAATTTTAACTGATTCTTCTTTCCTACTGCAATCTCCTATTTCATTTTCCTCACTACTTTAAAATGTCCTTTCCAGAAACTGTTTTAGATGCTATAATGGACTACAGCAGGAAGGGACAATTAGCAGTAACATTACTTCTTGCCATTAACAGGTGTACAACAGTGCACAAAATTAACCATGTATTTCTCTAATATATTTTCCAACAAAAAGAATTACGGAATTCAGAATACGAAGTTTTGATTTGTTTGTATTCATATTGTTGACTTATAACCTTTAGTGCTACTTCTTCTGACAACAACCCAATAAAATGAAATACACCACATACACATTATGAGTTATCAGAGGGAAACAAACATAAAAATAAGTCCAAGGGAATTAATAGTCCATTAAGCAGATGTGACATTCTTATTCTCTTACTTTCAGACAGTAATACCCAATGATGCAGAAAAAGGAAATGACAGTGTGTAAAATTGCTAAAATGCGGAGTGTAGGTTCCATGTAGCCACTGCTTTCTTCAAGGACATAGTGTACTGTGATGATTCTATGAGAAGGACTTTCTAGGCTGTTTAGCTTCATTTTCTCAGCAGTATTAACTACTTGTATTTCCTTTTCTTCTGTCACTGAAGAAGTAGATACCTGTTGAAGAACAATTTGAGAGAAATATCATATTTCTAAAAGCTACACACAAAAGGGCTAACGGGTGGAAAGAGGACTATTCCAGAGGTAGATCATTGACATTTAATAGCAGGAAGCCTTGAGCTGAGATTCTACCAGATCTCATCCCCTCAATTTCTTTCTCGCTGGCATTTCTTATTTTCTTTAGTTATATGCTATTGATTTCTTATTTTCTTTAGTCATATGCTATTCATATTTTAGAGATAATCCTAAACTTACAATCACTTGTTTAGTGACCATTCGAAGTTACAACGGTACTGAATAAAGTGGTTTATGGCTGTATATCAAACTTACGACCACTGAAGCTTTCCCGTGGTCATAGGATCAAAATTCAGATGCTTGGCAACTGGCATGTATTTATGGTGGTTCCAGTGACCTGGGGTCATGAGATTATCTTTTGTGACCTTCTGACAAGCAAAGTCAATGGGGAGCCAGATTCACTTTACAACTGTAGTGATTCACTTAACAACTGAGGCAAGAAATGTCACAAAATGGGGAAAAACTCAGTTAACAACTGCCTTGTTTAGCAACAGAAATTTTGGACTCAAATTCTGCCTGTAAATCAAGGACTACCTGTATTTTCAAATTCTATCTTTGAACAATATTCACAGCTTTACAAAGCTTAAGTGTTTTTAATAGTGTTTTAGCCTCCATCAGCATCCTCCCCAATCATTACATATGTTTACCATTGCCTCATAAAATTATGGTATAGATTGCACTGGTTTAAAACATTGTTGAATTATGAGCTTGGAATACAGAGAAATGACACAGATTAAATTCAATCACCTTTAATGAACATTTATGCAGTAAATACATATACTAAAAGTAGCCTACATAAGCAAGCCCTAAGTTCAGGATGTTATGTCAGAATTTTACACTACAACTTAGCCTAAGAGAGTAAAATAACTGATTTGAGTAAAGACTTTGAGTTAAAAATCAATTAATTTTAATAAGTTAATTTCACACCTAATTGATAAAGTTTAAAGTATGAAGGATTTACCTTGTAAAACAAAAGGATGAAATTAATGGCAAATGCAACAAATAAAGCCAGCATCCTCATATTGTAAAAATTCCGAGCAAAATAATTCTGAAAAAAGAAATAATTTTGAATCAGTTTAGAGTAATAGTTAAAGTACTGAATTAGAAATCAGGACTCTTAGACACAAAAGCTGGCTGGGTGATTTTGGGCTAATCTCTCTATTCAGCCAAGCCCACCTCACAGTGAAGTTATTACAAAGAAAATAGGAAATAACATTATGAATTGTATACTACAAAGACAGGACATAAATCTAACAAATAAATATGCTTAATAGTTAGTTACACTTAATATATTTATCTTCTCTCCATAACTTGAACACTGCTTTTCTAAATAATTACATAAAAAGTTTTCCACTTCTAATTATTCACATAATTTATGACAATTAAAATTACTTATTCAAATTATGTGTATGTTTAAGGATTGTATCTGAACAATCTGTATATTAAACAGTGCCAAACTAATAAGAAAGTAGAAACAAATAATATTTCATATAGATATTTGGTAATCTGCAATACCCAGAAACGGTTATACATTCCCTTCCCAAAGACTTTTTTTGTGAAAATAAATAATCTCTAGTTTTGGAATATAGACATAAAAATGAATTAAGCTGCAAATGTCACCATTTAAACAAATATGTATACAAAATGATGTACTATAAGGAATTTTTGTCTATTTTAATTTTTAAACCCTTACAAGGACTTTCTGTTGATATGCAATAATTTTTTTCCAGAAGGCAGATTCTTGCAATTCTAGTTCACCATGCCTATGTTTGTGACACTGCCTTGGTTTCTGCTTTCCCTTATCTTCTTTTGTTTTCTCTTCTTTTTCTCCATCTTCTCCCCTGCAGACACATATTTTTCAAAACTATAATATCAGTCACATTTCTCAATTAAAATTTAATATTTCAAGTTTTATATTTTATATATATATATATATATA